ATATTCCAAGAAATGGATTTTATACGAATTTTTAAAACTTAATCGGCGAAAATTGCAAAATTCGAAAAAATTGTCGATCATTTCAAAAATTTATTTCTCAAGAACTGAAAGTGATTTTTCAAAACGGCTTTTTGCATTAAAAAAAGGATACTTTAATTAATAATCGAAAGTGTTAACAGCGAGTATTAGTAATGAATTGGTGAATTACAAGCGAAGAGAAGAAAACTAGATGAAACTACAACAAGAGATTTTATATATCGTATTGGGATTGTTACAATGAGGTGGCTAATGACAAACCTGATATAAATAATGTTTTATTCAATGAAAAAAGTTCTGTTGGGGTTGAACTTGATTATTATCTATAGTGTCCAACACCTAAAAGAGATACTAATTCCTATGTATGGTGGAGTAGGTAATAATGAATTGAGGACTTGAAGTAGTTAGCCACTAGAAATTACCAGTTGAAAATCATTTGGTCACTATTCCAGAAGCAACCCATATTGTGGTTGCTGCTGTTTATAAAGAACTAGAAAAGATCATAAAATTATAACACAACAAACTTTTACTCTTGTTTTTACACCTCTTCATAAGCCGATATTTTCGTTGTCTTTAGAGATAGCGAAATACTAAATAAACCACTAGAAAGCCTGATCTTTTCTTCATTTAAAACCGGGGTATTGTCAATGTCATGATATCCACAGCGAAAAAAATAAAGAACGTCGCCGTGTACCGAATACACTTCAAAATTATCAAGATTCAAGCTCATGTGCAGCCGTTATGGTGTCATAAGTTTCTTATATGATACGGATAAAATCTACAGTGAATTGATATATGACTTTAGTAGATTACATGACCATTTTCCCTCAAAAACTGCAACAACCGCGTATAATTACTCAAATTACTTTTACATATAAAAGTAAAAATAAAAGTAAAAATTTTCCCCGTATCATAATACGGGGAAAACTCAGAGACCATATAGAAATGTTCCGCTCTATTAAATTTTTTAATAAATTACTTTTTATGAATCACCCTGTATATTAATAACTTTTAATATAAATTGTACAAATAAAATGTGTTCATGCATTAGAAATCCTACCAATAAACACCATATGCCAAGGTCTCCAAGATAAAACACATCCATAAAAAGTCAAGAAAAAAGAACATTGTTATATTATTACCAATAACAAATCGCGGAAAAGATTATTTCGCATAAAGCAAAGCTTTATTAAAACGTTTCAAAATAACTGCTCTGATTCAATAAATTTAATATCAACATCAATTGATGGATTATTAATTTTTATCGAGATCATTGAATTAAATTCTTTTCGAAAACAATATTGGCAATAAAAAAAAATAATATCTGCCACAAACGAAAAAATAAATCAAATTGTAAGTGATGCGAAGCACTAAAATACTTTTGAGTCTCTAGACGTGTGTTATAAAGTTGAGAGTCAGTCAGTCAGTCGTTCACCGGCAACGAGTTCAGAGAGTGAGTTAGCTCGTTTTTAAAGTGCTGTGAGCGACTCGTATTTGTAGTTTAGAGTTTAGACTACATTTCGTCGTTCAGACGAGACGTGAACTGAATACCCGACACTATAAAGTGAGTAAACCCAGATCTCGATTTCCTTTAAATTGTAACATCAACTAACTTAAGTAAGTTTAAACGAAAATTTATGTTTATATTTGAAACCGTAACATCGCTCCAAATTGAAAAAAAAATAACTTTGAAACGCGCCTGGAAATTACAACAATTTCGCGAAAGTAAACAATTAATTCGCAGCACCCATTAACTAAAGTTTACGAGGAACTCTCAAAAAACACACGATTGATTCTGATAAATTGACTTTTTGGAATGTTTAAACTCAAACAAGTTGGTTTTAGAGCACTTTAACACTTTGTTCAGATTCAGTGTGGGAACAATAATAAATAAATTTGCTTCTAAGAAAGAATTAAATCAAAATAATTTTTAATTTAATTTTAACTTAAAGAATTTAACAATGTTTGTGTTGTTTTTTTTTTAACGGTAACTTCTTGTAACGTGTGGTTAAAGATTTATATCATCATGATTGATAGCATGGTTTATTCTGACGGTAACCCATAAATATATCACTGGACAGAGCCAAAGACGCGTCTTGGCGAAGTCTTTGGCAATAAACATTACAGTTTATAATCCAAACCGTTTTATCTTTTTTTTATGTTTTTTTTAAATTTATATTTAAATTTTTGTCCTAATTTAAATTAACCGAGAAATTGGAGTATTATTAATATTAAATTGTGGGGAAAATTACTGTAATTAAATAGTAAAATTACTATATAGACACACCTACACTGAAGATATCTAAACCTATCATATATTTGACGAGCAAACAATGAGTATGTGTGGGTCGTAAAACATAGAAAGGCAATAAAAAAATTCTACACGTATTGTTGGTTCTTATAAGGAAATAATTAAACTGTCTTCTTGTCGCGGTTTAAGTGAATCGTGGGCATATATCTCCCGTTGTTTAAATTTAGACAAGAAAATAGTTATAAGTTGACAAGAAAAATTATATACATATACAGTAAAACCTCGATATAACGAACCTCTATATGTATAAATGTTTAAATATAAACTTGTATATATCGTCGATTTTTATTTTTTGTTAACTCAAATAATTTATTCTTACCTCTCTTACATTTTTGCTCTCAGATGCATAGATATTGAGAAAAATAAGAAAATTTGAAGAGGTAACACCCGGGATTCGGAGAATATTACAAAAAAACTTTTAGAACAAAGTAGTAGCAAATTTTGTTCTTAATAATATTGCTCTCTTTCACTTTTGCTCTCAGATGCGTCAATATCGAGAAAAATTCGAAAATAAAGAAAATTTTATGAATTTGGTTCTTGAACAAGTTGTTAATGGTAACATTCGGGAATCAGAGCATGTTATAAAAAAACTTTTGGAACAATTGTTGTAGAAAATCTTATTCTCAATAGTATTGCTCTTTTGCACTTTTGCTCTCAGATGCATAGATATCGAAAAAAATACGAAATATGAAAATTTTATGAATTTCGTTGTTTTACTAGAAGGTAGTGGTAACAGTCGGGAATCAGAGCATGTTATAAAAAGAGTTTTGGAACAATAGTTATAGCAAATTTGATTCTTAACAATATTGCTCTCTTGCACTTTTTCTCTTAGATGCGTCAATATCAAGAAAAATACGAAAATATGAAAATTGTATCAATTTGTCGCTTTTTCAAATTGTTAATGGTAACATTCAGCAAACGAAGCATATTATGAAAAAATCTTTTAGAACGAAAGTTGTAGCAAATTTTATTCTTAACAATATTGCTCTCTTGCACTTTGCTCTCAGATGCATAAATATCTAGAAAAGCACGAAAATAAGAAAATTTTATGAATTTCGTCGTTGTACTTGTTAATGGTAACACTCGGGAATCAGAGCATGTTATAAAAAGAGTTTTGGAACAATAGTTATAGCAAATTTGATTCTTAACAATATTGCTCTCTTACACTTTTGCTGTTAGATGCGTCAATATCAAGGAAAATACGAAAATATGAACATTTGATGAATTTATTGCTTTTTCAAGTTGGTAACGTAATACTCGGGAAACGGAGCGTATTATAAAAAAACTTTTGGAACAATAGTTATAGCAAATTTGATTCTTAACAATATTGCTCTCTTGCACTTTTGCTTTTGGTTGCGTCAATATCAAGAAAAATACGAAAATATGAAAATTGTATCAATTTGTCGCTTTTCCAAGTTATTATTGGTAACATTCAGGAGTGTATTATAAAAAAATCTTTTAGAACGAAAGTTGTAGCAAATTTTATTCATAACAATATTGCTCTTTTGCACTTTTGTTCCCAGATTCATAGATATCTAGAAAAACATGAAAATAAGAAAATTTTATGAATTTCGTTGTTGAACGAGATGTTAATGGTAACACTCGGGAATCAGAGCATGTTACAAAAAAACTTTTGGAACAATAGTTATAGCAAATTTTATTCTTAACAATATTGCTCTCTTGCATAGTTGCTCTTAGATGCGTCAATATTAAGGAAAATACGAAAATATGAAAATTGGATGAATTTGTGTCTTTTTCCAGTAGTTAATGGTAACACTCGGGAAACGGAGCATATTATAAGAAAACTTTTGGAACAATAGTTATAGCAAATTTGATTCTTAACAATATTGCTCTCTTGTACTTTTGCTTTTAGTTGCGTCAATATCAAGAAAAATACGAAAATATGAAAATTGCATCAACTAGTCGCTTTTTCAAGTTATTATTGGTAACATTCAGGAGTGTATTATGAAAAAATCTTTTAGAATAAAAGTTGTAGAAAATTTATTCTTAACAATATTGCTCTCTTGCTCTTTTGTTCTCAGATGCATAGATATTGAGAAAAACACAAAAATAAGAAAATTTTATGAATTTCGTTGCTGTCCTAGTTGGTAATGGTAACACTCGGGAATCAGAGCATGTTATAAAAAAACTTTTGGAACAATAGTTATAGAAAATTTGATTCTTAACAATATTGCTCTCTTGCATAGTTTCTCTTAGATGCGTCAATATTAAGGAAAATACAAAAATATGAAAANATATGTATAAATGTTTAAATATAAACTTGTATATATCGTCGATTTTTATTTTTTGTTAACTCAAATAATTTATTCTTACCTCTCTTACATTTTTGGTCTCAGATGCATAGATATCGAGAAAAATAAGAAAATTTGAAGAGGTAACACCCGAGATTCGGAGAATATTACAAAAAAACTTTTAGAACAAAAGTAGTAGCAAATTTTGTTCTTAACAATATCGCCCTCTTTCACTTTTGCTCTCAGATGCGTCAATATCAAGAAAAATACGAAAATAAGAAAATTTTATGAATTTCGTTGTTGAACGAGTTGTTAATGGCAACACTCGGGAATCAGAGTATGTTATAAAAAAACTTTTGGAACAATTGTTGTAGAAAATCTTATTCTCAATAGTATTACTCTCTTTCACTTTTGCTCTCAGATGCATAGAAATCGAAAAAAATACGAAAAATGAAAATTTTATGAATTTCGTTGTTTTACTAGAAGATAGTGGTAACAGTCGCGAATCAGAGCATGTTATAAAAAAACTTTTGGAACAATAGTTATAGCAAATTTTATTCTTAACAATATTGCTCTCTTGTACTGTTGCACAAAGATGCGTCAATATCAAGAAAAATACTAAAATATGAAAATTGTATCAATTTGTCGCTTTTTTAAATTGTTAATGGTAACATTCAGGTAACGGAGCATATTATGAAAAAATCTTTTATAACGAAAGTTGTAGCAAATTTTATTCTTAATAATGTTGCTCTCTTGCACTTTTGCTCTAAGATGCGTCAATATCAAGCAAAATACGAAAAAATGTAAATTGTATCAATTTGTCGCTTTTTCAAGTTGTTAATGGTAACATTCACGAAACGGAGCATTTTACGAAAAAATCTTTTAGAACGAAAGTTGTAGCAAATTTTATTCTTAATAATATTGCTCTCTTACACTTTTGCTCTCAGATGCATAGATATCGAGAAAAATACGAAAATAAGAATATTTTATGAATTTTGTTGTCGTACTAGTTAATGGTAACACTCTGGAATCAGAGCATGTTATAAAAAAACTTTTGGAACAATAGTTATAGCAAATTTGATTCTTAACAATATTGCTCTCTTGCACATTTGCTCTTAGATGCGCCAATATAAAAAAAAAATACGAAAATATGAAAATTGTATTAATTTGTCGATTTTTCAAGTTGTTAATGGTAACATTCAGGAAACGGAGCATATTATGAAAAAATATTTTAGAACGAATGTTGCAGCAAATTTTATTCTTAACAATATTGCTCTCTTACACTTTTGCTCTCAGATGCATAGATATCTAGAAAAGCACGAAAATAAGAAAATTTTATGAATTTCGTCGTTGTACTAGTTGTTAATGGTAACACTCGGGAATCAGAGCGCGTTATAAAAAGAGTTTTGGAACAACAGTTATAGCAGATTTTATTCTTAATAATGTTGCTCTCTTGCACTTTTGCTCTAAGATGCGTCAATATCAAGAAAAACACGAAAATATAAAAATTTGTTGAATTTATTGCTTTTTCAAGTTGGTAATGTAATACTCGGGAAACGGAGCGTATTATAAAAAAACTTTTCGAACAATAGTTATAGCAAATTTGATTCTTAACAACATTGCTCTCTTACACTTTTGCTTTTAGTTGCGTCAATATCAAGAAAAATACGAAAATATGAAAATTGTATCAACTTGTCGCTTTTTCAAGTTATTATTGGTAACATTCAGAAGTGTATAATGAAAAAATCTTTTAGAATAAAAGTTATAGAAAATTTATTCTTAACAATATTGCTCTCTTGCACTTTTGTTCTCAGATACATAGATATTGAGAAAAACACGAAAATAAGAAAATGTTATGAATTTTGTTGCTGTCCTAGTTGGTAATGGTAACATTCGGAAATCAGAGCATGTTATAAAAAAACTTTTGGAACAATAGTTATAGAAAATTTGATTCTTAACAATATTGCTCTCTTGCATAGTTGCTCTTTGATGCGTCAATATTAAGAAAAATACGAAAATATGAAAATTGGATGAATTTGTTTCTTTTTCCAGCAATTAATGGTAACACTCGGAAAACGGAGCATATTATAAAAAAACTTTTGGGACAATAGTTATAACAAATTTTATCCTTAACAATATTGCTCTCTTACACTTTTGCTCTTAGATGCGTCAATAACAAGAAAAATACGAAAATATGAAAATTAGATGAATTTATTGCTTTTTCAAGTTGGTAATGTAATACTCGGGAAACGGAGTATATTATAAAAAAACTTTTGGAACAACAGTTATAGCAGATTTTATTCTTAACAATATTGTTCTCTTGCACTTTCGCTCTAAGATGCGTCAATATCAAGAAAAATACGAAAATATGAAAATTGGATGAATTTACTGCTTTTTCAAGTTGGCAATGTAACACTCGGGAAACGGAGCATATTATAAAAAAACTTTTGGGACAATAGTTATAGCAAATTTTATTCTTAACAATATTGCTCTCTTACACTTTTGCTGTTAGATGCGTCAATATCAAGGAAAATACGAAAATATGAAAATTAGATGAATTTATTGCTTTTTCAAGTTGGTAATGTAATACTCGGGAAACGGAGTATATTATAAAAAAACTTTTGGAACAACAGTTATAGCAGATTTTATTCTTAACAATATTGCTCTCTTGCACTTTCGCTCTAAGATGCGTCAATATCAAGAAAAATATGAAAATTACATCAATTTGTCGCTTTTTTAAGTTGTTTATGGTAACATTTAGAAAGCGGAGCATATTATGAAAAAATCTTTTAGAACTAAAGTTGTAGCAAATTTTATTCTTAACAATATTGCTCTCTTGCACTTTTGCTCTCAGATGTATAGATATCTAGAAAAACACGAAAATAAGAAAATTGTATGAATTTCGTTCCGGTCCTAGTTGGTAATGGTAACACTCGGGAATCAGAGCATGTTATAAAAAAACTTTTGGAACAATAGTTATAGAAAATTTGATTCTTAACAATATTGCTCTCTTGCATAGTTGCTCTTAGATGCGTCAATATTAAGGAAAATACGAAAATATGAAAATTGGATGAATTTGTTTCTTTTTCCAATAGTTAATGGTAACACTCGGGAAACACAGCATATTATAAAAAAAACTTTTGGGACAATAGTTAAAGCAAATTTTATTCTTAACAATATTGTTCTCTTACACTTTTGCTCCTAGATGCGTCAATATCCAGAAAAATATGAAAATATGAAAATTAGATGAATTTATTGCTTTTTCAAGTTGGTAATGTAATACTCCGGAAACGGAGTATATTATAAAAAAACTTTTGGAACAACAGTTATAGCAAATTTGATTCTTAACAATATTGCTCTCTTGTACTTTCGCTCTAAGATGCGTCAATATCAAGAAAAATATGAAAATTACATCAATTTGTCGCTTTTTTAAGTTGGTAACGTAATACTCGGGAAACGGAGCTTATTATAAAAAAACTTTTGGAACAATAGTTATAGCAAATTTAATACTTAACAATATTGCTCTCTTTCAGTTTTGCTCTTAGATACGTCAAAATCGAAAAAAATAGGAAAATATGAAAATTTGAAGCATTTTTTGCTTTTTTAAGTTGTTACAACTTTTGAAACAATAGTTGTAGCAACTTTTATTCTTGTGCTAATTAATAAAGTGCAAATTAACATCTTGTCATATAACGGAGTTTTCCTCGTATTAATCCGTTAAATCGAAGTTTTACTGTATTTGAGGTGATTGACTTTGTGTGTAATAATAAAACATTACAACTCAGTTCAATGATATCATTCTTTCCGCGGTGGTCCCAGTTAATTTACCCATTAAAATTCCAATCAAAATTTCGAGACTTGTTTACAACCCAAACGTTTTTTATTTCGCGCCGCAGGATTAGTAATTAAAAAAAAATTCTCACAGAAAACATTATGTATGCTTAAGAGAAATCATTTTATTTGCTATTCGTTAGCACGATTCGTTTTATTCACACCTGGTTCGCAAGTGAATACCAATTATTTATTTCGGTTAAATTCCACACTAAAATAAGTATACTATATATACATAATAAGAAGTTTTATAATCGTTATAACGCAATAATGTATTTTCTCCGGTCTATTTGGACCGAACCCAACGAATTATTTATTTTAAAAATTTATGGGACGTAGTTTGTAGTTTAAACTGTCAAGATGAAATGGCTTCTTACTAATCGTTTTATGTCAAAACTTTTTTTGTAGAGTTTTAATGTTTTATCTCAAAAGAGAACCAATAAAAATAAATTATTATTATTTTTTAAAGATATCATTTCAATTAGTAGCGAATAAAGATTTAAAAACAAGTAATCAATGTCAATTAAAAAAAAAATAATTAATAATGTTAATTATCATCTCAAAAACAAACAATTATTTTTTAATCTTCTTATTTAAATAAGAAAAATTCTCTGGAAATATTTTTTTCACAATATCGATTAAAATTCATTAAAACCACTTAGAATCAACGAATCCATTAAATGAACAAACTAACTTAAGTAATCTATGAGTTTTATATTTAACAAACCGTAATTGTAAATTACCATTACCGAGAATTGAACATTAAGAATTTATGCCTGATTTATTATTCGATCCGAGTTTTAGTATAAATATATTTTTCGATTAACTAAACTGATTCATTTCTAATTTATAGATTCGGATTTCCGGTGAAGAATTTTTTTAATAAGATGTTAGATTAATCGCGAGGGCAAACGAAACCCCACCGAAAATAAACCGAAGCGGATTTGGGCCACGAACGCTCGCGAGGATCTTAAATATGGGACGCAGAAACTATTCGTTGTCCAACAGTTGAGTTATGGCTTAAGGTACATTAAGAAGTGCAGAAAAAAAACCAAGATTGAATCACTTGAAACAAAAGCCTAAAAATAGGTACCGTTTAGTGAGAAAGAAGTTAATAAATCCACTGAGAATTAGAAGAAACTTTAACGATAACTCATAGAAGAAAAAATAAATTGAAAATAAATTGAAGAGTGCATTTAATAAGCCGGAAATGCTTAGTTGCTAAGAAATATGAACCGATTTGTGTTGTTATTTTGGTTGGCGTTTTGCGGTAAGATCAATTTGCAAGAATTTTTTTGCGGCCGTGAGTTTTAACATTAGCATGCTTCGTTTGGTTTGATGAAGACTTGTTTATGGTCTGTTAAACAAATTCGCTCGTGTAATTCGAATCGTGGATTGAATTCCAATGCATAAAATACATTTTAATACATTTCAACAAGTTTAAATACTTTTTGAGTATTTTTTTCCAAAATTATTAGCAATTTTAGTTATTATTTTAGCTACAACTTCCTATAATAGAAACTGTAGTACCTAAACTATACTTGACTATATCTTATTAATTGCACGAGATCCTCAGTTTCGCAGACCAAAAATGGATTAAAATTTATGTACACAATAAATACATAGCTACTAAGTATAAATAGACAATACTTATTAGTTTAACATAAACAATTTCATTTTAACTGCTTGTTACTTTAAACCATGCTTTGATTGATGACTTCTTTAAAAATTTACGACTTCCATAATGATCCATAATGATACCAAGCGTCGGAAACCGAAAACATTAATTTTTAAACATTTTTGTTATTTTTACATTCCACAATAACAAAAAATTAATTTGTTTATACTTTGTATGAATATATCTAAAATATCTTTACAAAATTCTTCATCTTCTCTCGATGGACCTCAATGTACTAAAACTTCTTACTATTGCTGGTAAAGAAGCAGTTTCCTTCAAAGAATCGTGAAGTTAAATCTGTTGGACATTGTTTTCCTTGCCAATATTGTAATCCTATGTCACCACAAATGTGTTGGATTTGCACAATCTTCTTTTGCAACAATTTTGAATATTCAAAACTAAGCATAAGCCATTAATACTTAATTTTAGTCCATGTTTTCCATTGTTTCACCACAACGGTAGAAGTTTGCCCATTTACAAACGAAAATTAGGTAGTGCATTTAGGATCTTGACACTTATCTTTTCTGCGTTAAATTTAATGAGTGAAATCCTAAAAATTTGTCCTTGGTCGTAGAGTTTTTGCCAACGTATCAAATGACGATGGACATTGTTAATAAATAAAATGTTTGTCTTTAGACAAGGTAGAAAAACCCGATTTTAAACAAGCCAACCCAATCCAACTCATTTATACCCACATTTTTTAAAAGTTATATTCTTTAAGCTTATTTAAAATCAAAATTTATTTTATTTTACTGGAGGTAGGTCTGGCCCAGGAATGCTTGGACACTATAAACAATCGTGTCCATACAAAATTGGCGACAACCCAACAACTGAAAAAAAAAGAAGCTGGGGGTAAAACTGTCGTCTTTTATGTGCTGTGTTTTTTGTTTCTGTATTACAGCAGGAGATTTATAAGAGATGTTTTATGGAAAAAAAGTAGACCTACATAGCTTCAACCTAAATTTTTCAACTTCGATTTCTCTCAACCCAAAAGCTTCACAAAAAGGATCTTTGAGGCTCATACGCAAATAAAAAATAAAATGGAAATCACCTCACAAAAAGTGTATTATGCTTTTTTTTGGCAAAAAACATTGCTAGTGTATATTAGAGACTGAACATTTTGTATCCTTTATCATTTAGTTACCTCTTCTTCTTTTGGAATTAGTAATTAATGAAACATTGTCTTCTTCATCTTCACTAACCATCGTTTTAGAGAGATTTTATGTTGAGGTATTATCATCAGTTCATCATAGTCACATCATCACTCCATACATGGCGGTATTGGCAAAATGTTGCTTTTTCTATACAATTTATGCTGCATTTCTTTAACATTTCATTACCCCATGTTATTGGAATTGTGTTAAACAACATACCTCATTGCCCTATATTTTATACTAGAGAGTATTGTGGATAACATCTTTGATAGTGATGAAGAAATGAAAGTTGTGAAAACTGTAAAAGCTGTAAAAGAAGTACCGATACATTCTATTCCTGACGGCACATGGACATTTTTAGCCTTCTTTTTTCCATCAATTTTTGAAATAACGATTTTAATAAGTTAACAACACAATTTTAAGATCAATATTCTGCGAATTATGGTTTCATCCTTGTGGAAACCTGGGGTTGGTTAGACTGTAAGATTATTATTATTAGATTATTATTCATCATCAATTTTTGTGCAGGACAACCTTATTGCAACTAATTTTGACCATGATTGAATTGCTGTACATTATTCGATATTTTAATGTCGATGTTGTGAAACTTTTGTTCAGAAAATACTCTAAGAATAATCAATTTTTCTTGATGTGGGATCGAGGCATCTTTTCTCCTAACTAATTGACTGATGTGTGTAAACTGATGGTTAGTCCTTCTACAAAACCTACAACCTTGTAGGTGCAGTAATGATTGCACTAACCTTACTCCAATCCCAACCCAATCCAACCGAACGTGTTCCTACACCGAAATTGGATCGGATAACTTCATGAAGTCAACATAACTCATCTATTTTCTCGATGGTAATGGTTTCCATGGTAACGATAGTATCAGTACAAAATATTATAAACATAAATGTGACACACATAGAGTATAAAACAAAATATAAAATACACGTACAGAAAAACAACAAAAAAATACACTGGTATAGTTAACATAAAGTGGCCGAACAGCTATATGTTGATTGGTCGATTCTATCGCCGTTTACGACCGGTTAAAAAAGTCATCCTATCCGCCAAAGTATGCATTTATGGAGTAAGTGTGGCATAAGTCATTCTTCGAATCCAACTAGCTGGCCAGATATGTTCAGGTGTCCTAGTTCCATGTCAATCTCCAGCTCCGCTCTATGTTAAAGTTCCCTTTATGTAGAGTCTTAGCTGTCCTTATCGCACGGCATCTAGATTTGAACTTGGTAGATGAGGCTGCTTGGGTGGAGTTGTGAATTGGGAGTTCTCCATTGTGCAATATTTTTTGGAATTCTTGTCCAAAGCGTCCTATCGTCTCAGCTTTGGCAGAGAAATGAGGTTGAGCGCAGGAAGCCAGTGTATGGGAATAGATTTTATACAGCCAGTGAGTGTTCGCATGCTGGAGTTTAGTTGGGCATCTCTGCTCAGCATCTCAGTATGTTGATTATTCAGCATAAGACAGTGTTATAGCTGCTAATCCTCACATCGTGTTACATAATTTCTGAACGACATTATTTCTTGAGTGTACTTTCGTTATTTTTTTCGAGTGTGATCTTTCGAGAAGTTGGGTTGTGCTCCACAGAGTGACCACCAAACCGGTTTCTTGGTTTCTTTTGAAGGCAACAAGGTTGCCTAATCGGTAAATATTGTCAATTTTAACCATTTTGTTTATATTCCGCCTTCATGCCTATTTCCACGCCGTATTCTGAATAAAATTCTAGTTTATGCATTACTTCTTTTATTGAGTTGTATGTACGTAGGAAAGGGGAGGGTATGCTTCCGCATACAGCACCTAGGCCCCAATGGGCCCCTTGTACATCCTGCTGTACTCTCTCCGGCTACATCAATCAGCCTAAGGAATTTCCGAAAGCTAGGATATAGCTCAGAGGTGTGTTCCTGACACCATCTGTGCTCGGCCATTCCTCTCCAAAGTCTCTTATTCTGAGGTCTTGCAGAGTGGGGCAGTCACACAAGATGCCTCCTCGCTCTCTTCACAGAGGCGGCAAAGAGGACTAACAGCAAGTTTAAGGTTATAAAGATGCTTGTTTACCTTACAGTGACGCATGACGAGTCCCGTTACAGTTCGTAGAGCGTTTCTAAAAAGCCTTACGAAAGACAAGGCTGCCTCTGCTGAGGGATAACGTAATACTTTCTTAGACAGATGGCAGCCCTTAACCCTATCCCACCAGTTCATAAACTTTTCGTGGGTAAAATCTTTAATTATCTCAATCTGAGTTGATAAGGACGGAGCGATTATCGGTTTTGGCGCTCGCTTGGCAGCCCTTTTGGTAATCCTATCAGCGTGCTTGTTACCTTTTATTCTGTTTTTTACCTCTACTTCTGACGAACTTGGATGGGTGAGATATTTCTTCGTGAAAATGTTTTGTAGTTGTGTGAAGTCCGTTTTACATTCAAGAATTGGTGAGTAGTCCACCATTTCATTCCAGAGAATGGTATTTTTACTATCTCTCTGATCCATTAGAATTCCTGCTGCCAGCAGTCATGGTCACCAGTGCCACCTCTTGAATGAACAAATGAAATGGAGTTTTGTTCAACATGTTTTCCATGGATGAAGTACAATCTCTGTACTTGATTAAGTGCAGCAGTGGATGTAGACTGTAAGGTCTTTGACCACCATATGTAAGCATAGGTCGGATTACAGCCGTACAAATCCAGAGGGCATTTTTGGGTGTCAAGCCCCATGTCTTATCTATAGCCCTCCGGCATTGACCGAATTAAACGCTTTTTTTACTCTATTATCTAGGTGGGCTCTTCATGTCATTTTATTGTCAAGTGTGATTTGACTTCTTTTGACAACACCAATGGAGTATTAGCAAGGGATGGCATTCTGGGCTTGCCAAACTTCCTCATTCGTGTGAAAATAATCAACTCTGTCTTCTTAGGAGAGACTTTATTGAGTTATTCTTTGCCAAATCTACTCTCTCAATGGAGTTTCGATATGGTCTTCTTGTTATATTATGTCCTATTCATTGGATCATCTTCCTACACTTAGAGCAATGATTTCTACAACAGTGATGTGCGGATTTAACATCACCTAAACTTAATTCTACAAAAAAATACAACTACTTCATGGTCAAATCTTTCACTTTTATTTCGTTATTGTAATTTTGAGATATTATCTTAATACTCTTGATTACGATAGATCAGTTTTAGATTAGTTTTAATTTAGTATCTTTATAATCGATTTTTTTACATAAACTAATTATTTTTTTTATATTTTTAGTGCCAAAAATTAACGGGGAACCTCACCTTCCAACAGTATTACCATGTTCAGATGGATTTGTTAAAATACACAACTTTTGTTATTATTTTAGCGTCGAAGCGGAGAATTTCGATGGTGCCGAATTTAAATGCAGAGAAAGGAAAAGTAATTTGGCAGTAATTCATAATAAAAGACAAGATAGAGAACTCAAAAATTATTTAATAAAACAATACGCAGGTGATTTTATTGAATTAAACTTTTTTTTCTATCTAAACGTAGTTCAAGTCTTTTTTCATTAAATTCTTCTCTCTATTTGTTGCGCAATTTGCTTTTTTACGATGACATCACATGTTTAGATCACAACTAACCGTGCCCTAATTTTATAATTTTGTTATTGAACTTGAAATGAAAAGTAATGTCACAAGTAGTTAGATCATTGATGAAATTATCGGGATTTGAATGATCTGGTCGTAAATTCTGGTGTTTATTGCTCTAAGCAAAAAAAAAACGTCAAGTTTAAGAATAGAAATTGTTTATATTTCGAGATCAATCATTTTTTTTGTTCTTTTGCAACAGGAGCTAATGGAAATTTTACGAGTTCACAAGATGTATTAGGTAAGATTTTTTTTTCAAGGGCGGTTTTTTTAATTCTTTTGGATTTATTGGATTTATTGGGTGTTGAGTTTTTGAAAGGATTTTTTTACGAACTTTAAGTTTTTCTAAAAACCAATCTTTTTTTATTAAAGCTTAATACTAACAAGCAATTCAATTTCAAAGAACTTTTGTTTATAATAAATAACAGGTGTTAATCTTTAAATAGGTTTTTCTTAACCTTGACTTCATTAAGATTTATAGACATTGTGTTCTAGATTTCTACAAACTCAGACTGTTTGGCGTCTCTTTAAAACCATTCACTCACAATTAAATTCTCATTCATTTAAATACTAATTTTTATAACTAACTTTTCCCATCAATAACAATTATTTTGTTATTACTCAGGTGTTATTCACACTAAAATTGTTGAGCAATGAAATGTCCATGAAATAAGGAACTGTTTGTTACAAGTATTTCTTATTGCATAATATAGACGTTAAAATTAAACGATAAAATTGATTAAAATTGTTCCGTTTTTGTGGTATTTGTTATTAAATGGGCGCAAGGCCCAAGGCAGCAATTAATTGCGATTCCTTAAAAATTATAATCAGAGTAATTAAAGTTCAAAAACGGTTTCAGTTGATAACGCATGACAAGGCCGGTAAGTTATTTTTAGTTTCGTTGTTATTATTATTCCTTGAAAATTAGAAATCATTAGATTCGCGATCGTTCCTATGTATATTTATGTTAAAATTTTATTTATAGGATTTATTGCGGAATTAAAACTAAATGGAACGAGTTACATACATCTATGTAGGTTTATGATATACTAATTTTTAGAAGTAGGTGATAAACTGTGTGGATATTTCACAAGTACATAAAGTAGATACACCCTATTTAGGCAATTCTCGTTATGAAAGAGATAGAAAGTTTGTTTCTACAATAAATTTTATTCAAAATTTTGCAATAAAAAAAGATTATCGATTACTTTCATCACGTTGAAAACCAATAATTATCTGATTTCCTCATATTAATTAAGTCGTTAATTAAATATAATTTACGATTTTATTATAAGGAATTTTCATAAATACATAATATCTTAAGAATATCCCGTTAATGGTATGCAATTTAAACCGAACCTGAGTAAAATTTGCGTAAACGCGTGTCAACCAGTCATTAATATAACGACTGCTTTTGCTCCATAAAACGACACCTGATCGAACGACGAGAAAATTCTTTGAGTGTCTGCATACTAAATACGGAAACAAACAAAGAGAAACGATTGTCAAACGAGAATCTTAAGCATTAAAGGTGAGTGTTTGCGAAATTACAAGCCGCAAAACCAGTAATTTGATGTAAATATTCTTGTGAAGATGTCCTCACTTAGTAGTCTTATGTTAGTTAATTACGGTATAACCTCGATATCGATATAACGGACAAAATATGTTCGTTATATCCGACTAACACTAGACCTAGAACCACAAACATTATTTTCGATACACATCGTCTTTTTGCTTTTTAAACCCAACCCTGCAGAAATGATGGTCGCCAATTTTAATCATTTCTGAATTAATTGGATCCATGTTGCAAGTTCGGAAAGTAATTTGAATTTATACGGAACTAGTTTCGAGCTACAACTCATCCTCAGCCGAATTGTCAAAATCGCTATTAAATTAGGAAAATCATTACTTAAACATTTGCAAAACCCATACACTGAATGAATAAATTATTTACTATTTATAATTATAATTAAACAACACAACAGATTAACAAAAGTTAAAATCTTTTATAAAATGACAAATTGAAAGAAAAAGAAATGGCCCGAAGAAAACATCTGTCTAAATAACGTGATTTTGACAATTCGGCTGAGGATGAGCTTGTAGCTCGAAACTAGTTCCGTATAAATTAAAATTATAGCAAGTAAGAAGTTTTTATTTTCTTTCTTATATAATTTTAATCAAGGAAATTAAAAAAATTATATCTCAAGAACGAAATGACATATAATGATGAAACAATTAACATTTCAAAGCAAATTTGATGAGCATTCAATGTGCCATAAATAGTTTCTTATTTCGCACAAACATGGTTGTTGTGATATTTTAAACCCAACTCTGCATATTTGATTATTGTAGACTTGACAAATAGATTTTAAAAGGTTGTATCTCAAGAACTAATGAGATATTAAGATGAAACCACAAACATTTTAAAGCTAATTTTATAAGTACTCAATGTGCCATAAATAATTTCTTGTTTCCTAGAAACATGGTTGTTATGATTTTTTAAACCCAACTCTGCACGTTTGGTTATTTGACGAATAGGATTTAAAACGTTGTATCTCAAGAACGAATTGAGATATAAAGATGAAACAAAGAGCATTTTAAAGCTAATTTTATGAGTATTCAATGTGCCATAAATAATATCTTATTCCCCACAAACATAGTTGTTGTAATATTTTAAACCCAACTCTGCATGTTTGATTATTGTAGATTTGACGAATAGAGTTTAAAAAGCTATATCTCAAGAACGAATTGAGATATAAAGATGAAACAAAGAACATTTTAAAGCTAATTTTATAAATATTCAATGTGCCATAAATAATTATTTATTTCCCACAAACAAGGTTGTTATGATTTTTTAAACCCAACTCTGCATATTTGATTATTGTGGAATTGACGAATAGAATTTAAAACGTTGTATCTCAAGAACTAATTGAGATATTAAGATGAAATAATTAACATTTTAAAGCAAATTTTATGAGTGTTCAATACGCCATAAATAATTTCTTATTTCCCACAAACAAGGTTGTTATGATTTTTTGAACCCAACTCTGCATGTTTGATTATTGTAGATTTAACGAATCATAATTATAATAAACAAGTTTATTGTTCACAAAAACCATCATACATATTCGTGAAAGTACAAAAATTACATATTATATACATTTATGAACAAAAGGTGATGTTCGATAGTCTCCTATCGTTCGTCCACAATCATCCCCTTAAAAATAATAAACATAAACATAGACAAAACAGAAAACAACACGAAAAGATAAGAAGAGATAAGAAAACATGAACAAGAGAGAATTTATGCGTAAATACGGCAGAGCTGAGCTATTAACATCACCTGTAACTCTGAAAGGTGCACTGAGCCTTTGAGAATAGAGTTTAAAAAGCTGTATCTCAAGAACGAATTGAGATATAAAGATGAAATAAAGAACATTTTAAAGTTAATTTTATGAGTAGTCAATGTGCCATAAATAATATCTTATTTCCAACAAACAGGGTTGTTATGATTTTTTGAACCCAACTCTGCATTTTTGATCATTGTAGATTTGACGAATAAAGTTTAAAAAGCTTTATCTCAAGAACAAATTGAGATATTAAGATGAAACAAAGAACATTTTAAAGCTAATTTTATGAGTATTCAATGTGCCATACATAGTTTATTATTTCCCACAAACATAGTTGTTGTGATATTTTAAACCCAACTCTGCATGTTTGATTATTGTAGATTTGACAAATAGAGTTTAAAAAGCTGTATCTCAAGAACAAATTGAGATATAAAGATGAAACAAAGAACATTTTAAAGCTAATTTTATGAGTATTCAATGTACCATAAATAATTACTTATTTCCCACAAACAAGGTTGTTATGATTTTTTAAACCCAATTCTGCATGTTTGATTATTGTAGATTTGGTCTAGTGTTAGTTCTAGTTTTAATTGTTATTCAGCGCTAGACGGTTGTACATATTTATTGAACTAAAAGTAGAACTTACACTAGNCTTATTTCCCACAAACAAGGTTGTTATGATTTTTTAAACCCAATTCTGCATGTTTGATTATTGTAGATTTGGTCTAGTGTTAGTTCTAGTTTTAATTGTTATTCAGCGCTAGACGGTTGTACATATTTATTGAACTAAAAGTAGAACTTACACTAGACCTAGAACTAGAATCATTCAGGGTTAGCCGTCTTAAGAGTCTAAACTCGAATGTTTCTAGTTCTAGGTCTAGTGTTAGCTCTAGTTTTTTAGTTGATATTTAGCGTTAGATTGTTGTATATTGTTATTAAACTAAAACTATTCCACTTTGATGATCCCCTGATTTTTTTTAATTAAACACCTGAGTAAAACAATACATAAAATTTATTAATATAAAGTAAAGAAAAATTAATTTAAAATCTTTTTAGCTTCCGTTCCAAGATGGTTAGGAGGACAATACAATTGGATCAAAAAGCAATGGGTTTGGAGATTAAACGGAAAATTAATCAAATACCAATCATTTTTACCAAACAATAATGCATCCTCTGAATGGAACTGCTTATTGTCCCATCCAAGTTACAATTTTAAGTAAAAACTTATTAATATAATAATAGAATTTTTAATATTTATCATTAACATTTTAGTTGGATAGGAAGTAAATGTTGGGAAAAACAATATTTCATCTGCCAAACACATTTGCTTCACCCACAATTAAAAAATGCCACCCATAAAAACCAACCGGGTTATTACATAGTAACACCATCACCCCCAAAAAAAGCAAAACCGAAGATATCAATCGTTTGTCCAAGAGATTTTCAACCAATTGGAAGGAAATGTTTTAGTTTTAGTACTGAAAAAGAAACTTGGCAACAAGCTTATCATAAATGTGAAGATAAAAGATCGCAATTGGCAATATTTCGAAAACCGGGTCAAAATAGAAAGTTAAAATTACACGCGCGCAAATTAAGATTGTTCGAAGATGTTTGGTTGGGTGGTCGATACGATTGGAATCGTAAAAACTGGAAGTGGGCTAAAAATGGGAAAATAATCCAAGGAAGGACACCCCAAAAAGATCAAGATTGGACGTGTTTAACTTGGAGCTATAATCTAGATACGTACGGTGCCGAAAATTGTTTAACGACTCAATATTATTTGTGCCAAACTCAACCCGATATTATTCAAAAGAAAAAAGAAAAGAAAATCAAAAAAGTTGAATTTCGTTTTGAACTTTACAACAAAACAGATTCTACGAGACATTACGATTAAATAATATTTATTCTATATTTTATTTTCAATACTTCAAATACTCATTAATCTTAATTATTTCATTTTATCTTAGTTAAAAAATTATATTCTTTATAATACATATTTACAAGTTTTTTTTGTAATACTAATTTAATATTTATAACGATTTTTGCAATAACAATTATATACTTTAAAAAAATTATATGAAATGAAAATTGTTTGATTTTAAACCTTTCTTAAATGTATTCAGTTCAAATAAAAAAGATAACGCCTTTAAAAATAAGTATTCTTGGATTTGATTCATAAATTTATAACATATCATACTACTGAAATAGAGATGGCGTTTAAAAAGAAATACAGCTGAAAATGTTGTACTAACCACTAGTATTGTTATTACGAATTCTGTTAAATCAAATTAAGTAATGTCCAGAAAAGGCTATCGCTATAGCATTGGCATGTTGCTACTTGCACAACTTTTTGCGATATAAAATTGCGATGAAAATTTTATCAAAACTTCAAATATTGTTTTCTCAAAAACTAGAAGTTATTTTTCAAAACGAGTTGGTTCATTATTACTTAATTAGTGAAAATTGCAAAATTCGAAAAAATTGTCGATCATTTCAAAAATTCATTTCTCAAAAACTAAAAGCAATTTTTCAAAACGGTTTTTTGCATTAGAAAGAGGATACTTTAATTAATAATTGGTGATATTTTCACAAGGATCCTTTAAGAAATGAATTTTATAGCGAATTTTAAAAGTTATCGATGAAAATTGCAACATCGAAAATTTTATCAAAACTTCAAATATTGTTTTCTCAAAAACTAAAAGTTATTTTTCAAAACG